TCCACATACCACAGCACATTTTCCCTCACGGGAAGGCGCTTACAGTCTGTTTCCACTGAAGGCTTCAACTCTCCTGACACCGCTCTCTCTTCCTTTCTCTTCCAGTGGGACCTAGTATGTGAGTACCAGTCATCCAAATCTATAGTTCAAGTAGTATTTATGATTGGGTCACTGCTGGGAGGTCTGATATTTGGCCATCTTTCAGACAGGTAGGTGTCATTTCACTTTCTCTGTGGATGTTGATCAGATGGTATAGTCTTTTCTGTAGTTAAGAAATCTCAGCTGAGCTCTAACTTTGTGCTTTACATAGTAGTCCAGCACTCAGCAGAAAAGTATCTTTTAGAAGACATTTAGAGAAATTTTAATTTGTATTGTACAAACTTAGAGAATAGTGGGATCTGATGAACTGATGTATTCACAATCAACAAAATAAAAAGTGAATATCTTTTCTATATAACAACAACAAACCATCTACAAAAAAGTCAAGAGAACAATTTCATTCTCAATGGCTTTCTCAAACTAAAATACTTAGGATTAAACTTGACCAAAGAAGTTAAAGACCTCTAGAATGAAAGCTATAAAACCCAAAAGAAAGACACTGAAAGCCAGGTATGGTGACTCATACTCCTAGCTACTCAGGAGACTGAGATTTGAGGATCAAAGTTGTACCCCAGCCTGAGAAGGAAAGTCCATAGACACTTACCTCCAATGAACCTGTAAAAAGCTGGTGTGATGTCCCAACCCACAGGACATCAAGAGGGCAGTGAACCTAAGCGAGAAGGAATGAAGGGACAAGAGACACGAAGAATGACAGCAAGACAAGGATTCTGATCAAGCTGCCGATTTTTATTTTTCACACAAGGGTATTTATATGCTTGGAATAAGGAAGCTTTTTCATTGGCTGAAGCAGCTGCAGGGTGCTTGCTTAGGGCAAGGTGAAAAGGTGGTCGTTACTTAGGGCAGGGTGAGAAGGTGAAACAGCCTCAAGATGTTCCAGTGAGATAGTTGGCTCCCAACCTCTCCCCCTTTCTTATTTAGAAAATTGACCATCAATTGTTGGCTGCTCTTTTTAAGGGGGTGACAGAGGCTCTGTTCCTCTAAGGGCCCAGGGTTTTTCTCCGCTCCTGAGCGAGCGTCCTCACTCGGGGAGGGGAATTTTACAGGCCCTGGCATGTTTTTTGAGGAGACGGATTGTGGGTATGCATGCCAACCGTCATGCACCAGAGCTTGCCACTCAGGGGTCTTGGGTTTGGGGATCTCCCGGATCCATCCACCTGCAGTCTTACCTGAACCCTTGACTTGAGCATTTTTTCTTCCTCCCATAGGTGCATCCTCCCCCAAGCGGAGGGGCCTATAGGAGGAGGGACAAACCTATCCCTTATGGCAAGGGCGCAATAGGTCTTGCCTGTTGAGTGGTCAGGAGTTATGAATAAGGAGAAGGGTTTTCTGAATAAGAAAAAGGAAGTGGGGGGGGGGTTCCCACTGGAACAAGCTCATGGCGAAACACTAATTAAAAGCCTAGGGTAAATCCTAGATCTCAATGCCTTGGTCTGCCATATCAAGGCGATGGTGATGAACCTGTATGGGCTTAGAAGCCAAGAGATTAATCTGTTATTTAATCAATTCAAACAGGGAGGTCCACATCTGGAGTTCTGGCTGCATCTGTAAGAGTAAGAGAAAAGGCAACATCCTGGGGGGGTGGGGGAAGGTTTCCCCTGGGTTGTGATAAGCCATTCACCTGTTTTATCAAGCATTCTGGCAGCCACCTTGGGGCTGCTTGTTCTTGATCTAAAAGTCAAAGAGTGGCAGGGAGTGGTCTACATGTAGCTTGGGAGGGTATTGCCCCTTGGCTTTGTTTGCCTAAGGGACATTCAAGTGCGAAGTGACCAGGTTGTTTACTTTCTGCAGCCAAGTTAAGCCACGAGACTAAGTCACTGTAGGGTTCATCTGACCACTGTCTAACTTTTGCCAGGGAAGTAGTAGCTCCCTTTTGAGGGAGGCGCTTCTAAGCATGAAGGCCAGCGTTTTGAATTTGTGCCAAAAGTCTGGTAGGAAAGCGCGCCTTTTTAGCATTGGTATCAAAGGGCGCATTACCCAAAAGTTTAGTATAGGTCCAGGTTTTTGAAGATGTTTTAGCCAAATTTTTTTGCGCGGTCTCTCTACATTGTTCCTTAAAGTCCACATTCCATAAAACAAAATCACCCCCACTAAGGGTGGCATGGGCCAGGAACTTCCAATCATTAGGGGTGAGCCAGCGCGCACTTTGGTTTTCTAACAAGGCTAACGTATAAGGGGCAGTCGGGCCATATTGGGCACATGCATTTTTAAGCTTTTCAACAAACCGGAGGCTAAGCCTCTTATACTCTTGTTGGCCTTTTCTCTGGGTGGGTTGTTCCTCTTCATCCCCAGTATCCTGTTCCTCATCTTCCTTTTCCTCCTCTTCTGATTCGTCCTCTTCACCCTCTGAGGCCCTATCTGTCGGGCTCCGAGTTACTGGAAAGGTGAGAACTGATTGATGGTGTGATCTAACCTTAATTTTATCAGGTGGTTTTGGCATATCGACCAAGGCCAGTATGCGGCGTTCATAATCACGGACCGCAGTTCTTTTAAAAGTTGGAGGTGTTCTTGCCTATGTTGAAGGGCCTCGTGTGTTGGGAGCCAACTATCTCACTGCAACATCTTGAGGCTGAGTTTACAGAATCCCACCTTTTCACCTTGCCCCAAGTAAACACCCTGCAGCTACTAAGGACCACCTTTTCACCTTGCCCTAAGCAAGCACCCTGCAGCTGCTTCGGCCAATGAAAAAGCTTCCTTATTCCAAGCATATAAATACCCCTGTGTGAAAAATAAAAATTGGCAGCTTGATCAGAATCCTTGTCTTGCTGTCCTTCTTCGTGTCTCTTGTCCCTTCATTCCTTCTCGCTTAGGTTCACCGCCCTCGTTTGAAGTCCTGCAGGTTGGGACACTCTTGTAAAGGGGCCAGGTTAGGTAAAGGGGGAGAGAAAAAACATCTGGATCTGGAGGGTCAGTGGGCCCTTGAAGGGCCGGGCCACAAAATGAAGGGATTTTCAGTAAATTGACCAGCGGGCATATCTAATACAACGGATGGGCAAGCCGCGGGGGGCCGAGAGGCATGTTGGAGAACCTCCTCTCCCATTTTTACAAGTTTTAAAATTACACTATCAAATAGAGGACATTTTAAAACTTCATTAATCAAATTCCAATAGGAAAAGGCGGTAGCTGGAACCTTTTCCAAACGAAAGATTTCATAATAATCTGCTAAACAATCTCCTACTCTTTGCCATCTTTTTGCATCTATGATTCCTTCAAAGGGGAACCAAGGACACACGTCCTCTATGAATGAGAAAAATAATTCTAAATCCTTTTTCTTAACCCGCATTCCCTGTGTTTTCAATGCCTCCTTGAGGTCTGACAGAAATAGATCATGTGACGAATTGCTTCTCCCATAGTGGGTGGGGGTCTGTCGAGGCGATCTCGGACTGTACTTGGCCAAGTTTTCCCGGAGGACTGCGTTCCTTCCTTAGTCAGAGGCTCGTGCCCCACGTTGGGCGCTAGTTGTCCCGACCCGCAGGACTTCAATGAGGGCAATGAACCTAAGCGAGAAGGAATGAAGAGACAAGAGACACGAAGAATGACAGCAAGACAGGGGTTCTGATCAAGTTGCTAATTTTTATTTTTCACACAAGGGTATTTATATGCTTTGAATAAGGAAGGTTTTTTATTGGCTGAAGCAGCCAATGAAATTCTATATTTAACTAAATTATATAATTATAATTATATAATTTAGATAAATATAATTATTATATGTAACATGTGTATCTTATATGTGTTTATATATGCTTATTTTAGGTCTTGCATGTACATATGGGAGAAAACATGTGAACTTTGTACTCTTAAACCTGGCTTACTTCATTTCATATGATGATCTCCAGTTCCATCAATTTCTCTGAAATGATGTAATTTCATTCTTTTTCTTAGCTTAATAACATTCATGATACATACATTTTCTTGATCCATTCATGGCCTGTGAGTAGTATTGATAGCCTGACCCTTGTGAGTACTGCTTCCATGAATATGAGCATATAGGGGCCTTCATAATAATCTCATATACATCATTCTGAATAAATGTCCAAGAGTGGTAGCACTAGATTGCATGGTAGTTTTTTTTGCAGTTTGTTAAAGAACATCTATACTGTTCTTTTCCAGTGCTCACATTTGTTTATGGTCCAAATGTAGTGTATAAAAAATGTGTGATTTCCCCCAAAATCCTTGCCTCCATTACTTGCTTACGTTTTTGATGATGACTATTCTGCCTAGAGTGAGGTGAATTCCAGTGTTGTTTCAATGACCATTTCTTTGTCACCAGAGATAGGCAGTGTTTCTTTATGTATTGATTGGCCATTTGTAGTTCTTTTCTTTTTTGTGGGGGAGAGGTGTCAACCATGGACTTTGAACCTAGGGCCTTAGTGCTGTCTCTGAGTTCTTCTGCTCATCGGTAGCACTCTACCACTTTGAGCCACAAATCTACTTCCTGGGTTTTTTTTGGGGGGTGGGGGAATGGATGGTTAATTGGATCTCACAGTCTACCGATCTTTTCTGCCCATGATCCTCATATATCAGCCTCCTGAATAGGTAGGACTACAGCCACCAGCACCTGGCTATTTTGTACTCCTTTTGGGAAGTCTCTCTTCAGTTCTTTTGCCCATTTATTAATTCATTGTTGATTCTTGGAAGTTTGGGTTTTTTTTTTTTGAGGTTCCTGCATCTATTGAAATGATCATGTGGTTCTTGACCTTACTTCTATTGATATGATGATTACAACAATTGTCTTGGAAATATTGAACCAGCTTTGCATCCCTGGAGTAAATACTGTTTGCTCATTATGTATGTTTTTTGATGAGTTGTTGAAGTGATTGGCAAGAATTTTGTTGAGAAGTTCTGCATCGATGTTCATCGAAAATAGATTTCTAGTTCTCTCTCTCTCTCTCTCTTTTTCTGATAAGTCCTTGTTTGGTTTTGGGATTGAGGGTTATGCTGGCTTTGTAGAATGAGTTTAGGAGTGAACATTTGCTTTCAATTTCATAGAAAAGTTTGAGGAATACTGGTGTCAGTTCTGCTTTGAAGGCCTTATAGAATTCAACTGTGAATCCATCTGGTCATGGGCTTTTCTTGTATGGGAGATCTCTTATTGTTTCATTGCTTGATATGGGTCTATTTAGATGGTTTAAATCTTCTTTGAGCCTTATTCTCTCTTCTGTGAACTTTCTATCCACTCCTGAAGGGAGAGGAGGTTTCTGAGTTGTCTACTGTTCATGATGAAACAGACTTTCCAAGGCACAAGAAGCCAGACACAGCTGAGAGAGGTTGTTAGCTATCTATCTGAAACATTGATGGATTGTCTTCCCATTCTGTCTGTCAAACAAGTTGGACTTCCACCTTGACAGTGCACAGACACTAATAAAGATAGCAGAACTTTCTTGATTTCACTCCTCAGGACTCTAAGCATAACACACAAACCTGTCAACCCAAATATGGGTCTACTAATGAACACTTCTGACAAAGTCTCATATGTTATCTTCTTTTTTATATGGCTTGACATGGCACCAGAGTTCTTATGGTGACTTTGCGTGTCCTCACTGAGAAAGTGTGGACATCACATTCATTGGCAAATTGCTCAGCTTCTTCCATTTCAGCTGTTGGCTAATATAGAAATTCCAACAAATTTCAAGTATAATGTAGAAATAATATTTAGCATTGATTAATATTTAATATTTATTTAAAGAATAGCATATTTCAAATGGATGATACCTAATCTTTATAGAAGGATTCAGTATCTACCTTAAATTTCATGATGTGATATCTTTTTCTGTTTTTAGTGTTATTGTTTTTGGTCTTGAATAATCTCACATAGTCCAATATTTCTTAGGTTTGGGCGGAAAACCATCTTCAGGTGGTGTTTATTCCAAATGGCCATCGGTGACACCTGTGCAGCCTTTGCTCCCACCTTCCTTGTTTACTGTTCCCTGCGATTCTTAGCTGGGTTATCTGTCGTGCCTATTTTAGCAAACTCTTCTTATCTCAGTAAGTAAGCCATTTGATCCTTTAATTTCCTTCTTGACTAGAAATGTCTTGAAAACATGATTTGGAAAAAATAATTATAACCATACAACTATAATTACAAGTGTGTTTTCTTCCAGTTGTAGAGTGGACAAGACCTCAATCCCAAGCTTTGTTAGCAATGTTGGTTTCCTTCAGTACTGGGCAGATGCTGCTGGGAGGACTGGCTTTTTTCTTTCGCAGCTGGATCACACTGCAGCTGATATTATCCATACCTCTGTTGGTCTGCTGCGTGTTATCAAGGTATGGACAATATGTGTGGCCTTTAACTCCAATGAAAGGGGACATAGAGGCTTAGAGGGAGGACCTGACACTTGAGATCTGTGTAATCTCTGAATGATCCTGTCACCTCACCCACAGTCACCACTGTGCTACTGAGATACAAAGGAGAACAGAATGTACTCTGCCAGGAGGCTGCAGCTGTGGAGTGAGCACTTTTCTATCTTAACCACAGAATTATTATGGAATCTTTTTTTCTTTCCTTTTAAGCATATGTTGCTTGGAATAAGAGGGGTCTCAGGGAGCTATTTTCACGCATGTAAATAATGTACTTTGAACATACTCACACCTTCTATTCGCTTTTCTTATGCCATCTTCCCCTCTTTTTTAAAAAATAATTTTAATTAGTTTAACAAGCTTAACTGTGCTGTTTTTTACAGAATGAAATTATATTTGCACTCCACCCTCATCAACTACTGACTTCAATCTCCCTGTGTTCCTATGGCTCCCCAGCAAATGGGTGCCTTTTACAGTCATAACATACAGGTGCCATATCATATAAAATATATTTAAGTCCAGATTTGCCGACAAGAGTATATGATATGTGTCTTTTAGAGTCTGGCTTTTTTCACTTAACTCGATGATCTCCAGTTCCTTCCACTTTGCTATAAAGAACATAATTTTGTTTTTCTTTTTGAGTAATAATATGCCAGTCTGTGGATTATTTCTAGGGCTTATATTCTATTCCATTGGAATACGTATCTTTTTTTTTTCTTCCAGTACCATGATGATTCATTACTCTGGCTTTGTAGCACAATTTGAAGCCAAATATTGTGATACCTCCAGCATTGCTTTTTTTGTCCAGGAATGCTTTGACTCGGCAGAGTCTGTTGCACTTATCTATCAGTTTTAACATTGCCTTTTCTATTTACACAAGGCATGTCACTAGAATTCTGATGGGGGCTGTATTGAATCAGTAGAAAGTTTCAGTAGTATATAAACAAGAGAGGTCTTCCCATCTTTCGTTGACTTCTTCAATCCTTAATGCTTTGTACATTTTTAGTTTTGAACAAAAGTGATAAAATGAGCAAACTCTATGACTTCAGCCAACAACTTTCCTTCTGGTTTTTGATCAGTCCATGGAATAAAATTTTCATGGACTTTGTTGCCCAGACTGGCTTCAAAGTGTGATCCTTAGATCTCAGCCTCCTGAGTAGATATAATTAGAAGTCTGAGCACCAATTCCCAGTGTGTAGAATTTTACTGTGTATAAAATCACTGAAAAAAACCCACTACAGAGATTAATTATATGCCACGTAGATCATATAGGGATATTAACCATTGGAATGTGAATGGATACTCAGAGTATTTGTTCATTCCTCCTTGTTGTCTATAATTTCAACAAACAAACACTTAGATACCCTTCCTGTAAGTCCACCAGAGAAGGCAGATTTAATCAGAAATGACTCTACTATGGTGTACAAAGTCTATATGAAATGGAGAGGAAAAGATATTTCAGATTAAAGTTATGTGTAAAATAAGCAGTTAGATGTTTACTGTAGCTGTGTTGTCTTCTTTTTCAGGATGCTGGTAGAGTCTGCTCGGTGGCTGGTTTTCAGCAATCAGCTAGAAAAGGGCTTAGAGGAACTTAGAAGAGTTGCACGTATAAATGGAAAGAAAAATGCTGAGGAGACCCTGAGCATTGAGGTGATCTGAGAAGGGGGCTGATTACTGGGAATGGATGATTTGAACTCACAATCCTACTATTCTGGGTCCTTTAGGCATATCCCAAATTAGAATTTTCTAAGTGAGAAGTTTTTTTGTTTTTGTTTTTTGTTTTTTCGGTCATGGGGCTTGAAGTCACGGCCTGGATACTGACCCTGAGCTTTTTCCATCAAGGATACCACTCTGTCACTTTGACTCATGATCCAGTTTTCTGTTGACTGACTAGAGATATAAGTCTTGGGAACTTTCCTGCCAAGGCTGGCATTGAACTGGGATCTTCTGTTCTCAGCCTCCTGAGCACGCTGCTTCTAAGTGACACTTGCACATCACCGTCTTAGTTCCCTCACAGTCTTATTATTGTGTAGAGAAAGAGGAACCAAATAAAAAAATGTGTCTATCTTTTGTCAGAAATCAAATCATTGTTTGAATAAAAGAGCAATTTCCCACACACGACACACATATGGGCAAGGAAGCAGTAACCCTTTCTCACTAGTTCAATAAATCATGGTTCACTTTAGGGAAAGCATTAAATATCATTTTAACTTCCCTGCATTTCTTTCAAAGATTAAATGCTTAGTAGGCAACAGATAGGAACTCTTGCTCTAATCCAAGTGCTTTGGCAGTAATTATATAAAAGTCCTTCTTTCTCTGACATTTACACTGTCATTATCAGAGAGTACTAAGATGTTGCCTATGTAGAAAAGCTCTTTGAAAATCTTTTTTTTCTTTTGCATTTCTTTTCTTGTTGTGGGGTTTGTTGATGTTTCTCTTATTTGTTTTTCTCCATATTTCTAGAACCTAGGTCCTAATATGGCTGGCTCACTCATAGATACATTTTACTCACTCATTTTAAAATCTTTTGAGGCTGGGCCCTAGTGACTCATGCCTATAATCCTACCTACTCAGGAGGCTGAGCTCTGAGGATCCAGCCTCAAACTAGCCCAGGAAGGAACGTTTGGGAGCCCCATATCTCCAATTAACCACCAACAAGCTGGAAGTGGTGTTATGACTCAAGTGGCAGAGTGGCAGCCATGAACACAAAAGCTCAAGGGCAATGCCTAGTCCCTGAGTTCAAGTCCCAGGAGCAGCTTAAGTAAACAAAGAATTAAAAAATACCTTTGAATACATAAAGTGTGTCAGCACAATGTTGGATATTACTAACGGAATTAACTTCATAGCATCTGTCTGCAAGAAACATTTTAAACTAGGGCTGAAAAATTGAGGGACAGTCTAATACAAAATCGGTGCTAATCCAGTCTATGTGCCAGGCATTGGTGAGAAAACCAAAAAGTGTTCAGCCAGCATTAATGGTCTAGAAAGGACTAAGGTGATAAGAGCTGGAGGAGGCCTTTGACACATCACCAAACTGGGTGGCAGTGGCACTGGGGACAAACGTGCCCACAGGCTGCCTCTGAAAGATAGCAAATGCCACATAAGAAAATGCTAACCAAGGAAGACACAAAGGTTGTATGTTCCCAATCAAAGTAATGTCATCCCTCTGCTATATGAAATAGCAGTGTCTCCAAAAGTTTCCTCAAAGTTCAGAGTCTATTTTTCCTAGTGCTGGGTACTGAATTAAGGGCCTCTTACATGCTACGAAAATGATCTCCACCTCTAGCCCACAGAATCTTAACATTTTAACGAGGTGTAAATGTGGATGGGACTACTTAAGCATTGTTCTCTTATTATAGAATCTTTGTATATAAATCTGTGAAGCTACAGAGTAAAAAAAAAAAAGTCCACCTGTCCCAAACTCATCCAATATGTAATGATTATATGAGCACTGTGGAAATACTTATTGTTTTTGTTCAAAAGGGAGAGGTAACATACAAAGGAATCCAGAGCCTACCTGAATCCAGCTAGGCAAAGGTTAGAAATTCCTATTATAGTTTTGAAGGCATAGAAAATTCTAGCAGACTGGTCCTCAGCAACAAATTCTTGCCTTTCAATCAGAGCTCTGAATTCTTCACATCTGTCATTAATGATAGATAACATTTCAAATAAACAGTATTCCTAAATAGTGTCCCAAGAAACATTTCAGCGACACTTCCTCATTTTGTATTTGTGTCTTTACTTGGATAATCTAAAATACTAACTCACTGATACAACAGTCTGTCATATCCAGTATTAACTCTCCACAGTCCTAATATAGAAAATGAATAAACTGTTATAAAAATAATAAACGCAAGCCAGGCACATCTGTCTCACCCCTGTAATCCTAGCTACTCAGGAAGCTGAGAACAGGTGATCAAGACTCAAAGCCAGCCTGAGGCTCTTATCTCCAAAAAACAACACAGAAGGCAAAAGAGGGCTGGGAAGGTAGCTCAGTGGTAGAGCCTTTGCCTTGCACGCATGAAGCCCTGGGTTAGATTCCTCAGCACCACATAAGCAAAAAGAAAAAAAAACTGGAAGTGGTGCTGTGGCTCAAGTGGTAGAGCACTAGCCTTGAGCTGAAGACCTGAGGGACAGCACCCAGGCCCAGAGTTCAGATCCCACAACCGGACCCCCCCAAAAAAAAATTTAAAAAAAAAGGCAAAAGAGTTGCTATGGTCAAGTGTTAGAGTCTAGCCTTGAGGAAAAGCAGCTCAGGGACAGCACCCAGGCCCTGACTTCAAGCCATAGGACCAACACACACACACACACACACACGCGCGCAAGCACGCACGCACCCACGCATACACACACACACTCCTAAGTGTCAAGGTTCTTTACTTGTCCTTGCCTCAGTATTTAAACAGGCTTTAATCTTATGTAATTCCCCTCTTCCTGTATCTTTCGTGGTTCTTCCCACCTTAGATGGATTTAATGCCCAAGTCCCTACTCTGTAGTTTTCCTTGAGGATTCAACACACCATATGTGTTTCATCTTTTAGTATTTAGCAAAATAATTGGCACATTATTGACATCTCATGAATGCTTTTGACTTTTGTTGTCCAAGTTTGTGAAATCCAACCTACAGGAGGAGTTTGAGGACGCCAAGGCAAAAATATCCATTTTTCAGTTGCTCCATGCACCCAGGCT